GTTCTTGGCCCACAGACCTCCTTGTCTCTCTATGCCTACCTGAGCTGGGCAATTGACTTTTTCTGGACTTTCCCCTCAGGATTTGGTCTAGTACATATTCTAGATCTGTTTAGAGGAGTTTTGGGGCAGGGGGATAGGGAACTCACTGTAATGCTTCCTGCTATTCCACCATCTTGACTCTATCTCAGATGATGCCATATTTTCAGGCAAAATACTCCTGCTGAATTTTTGTCAAAGAGGCTTTGTTTATGATTTCTCAGGAATTCACCTTCCAGTAATTTATTTTCCATGCCTGAAACTTTTTGACCTTTTCTACAACTGTTTTCTTTATTAGTGGAGTTGGGATCACACTCTCTCCCTCCACTTTCTCTTTTCTCTTTCTCTTTTTAGTAACCCTAACTTGCATGCTCTTAGCCATTCCTTGAAATAAACCTGAAATGTGCAGTCTGTTTTTACGATATTCAGGTACTCTTTTAACAATCAGTGGCTCTGGTGGTTTCGTTTTTCCTTCATTTTATGATGGATTTTTCTGAACTTGGTTAACATAATTACAGAAAAGAAAGAATACCACATATTTTCATAGGTAGAGAAGTATGGAACCAACTGCCTCTCATGACACTGAGTTTTTTATTATTGACCCTTCCATTCCATCTATTATATTGATACTAGAGTTAGCTTCTAAATACTTCCATAATATCATCTGAATCCAATTTCCCTACTTAAAAACTTCCAGTGACTCCTCATTTTCTCTATCAAGTAAAGTCTAAACTACTTAATCTAGGATTCTAAGCCAGGTCCAACCTTCTAACCTATCCTTTTTTTTTTTTGATAGTTATGCTTTTTGAAATTTTCAATTAAACATTTTTCTCCCTCCCATCTTCCTCTCCTATCCCCCAAGTTGGTTAAAAAAAAAAAAAGAAATTCAAAACCCTTGTAATAAATAAGCATATTCAAATAAACAGATTCCTACATTGGTGACATGCAAAAATCTGTGTCTCATCCTATATATTGTTTCATTGCTTTTTTGTCATGAGGTATGCAGTGTTTTTCATCATCAATCTGCTAGAATCATGATAATTTTATTGAGCAGAGTTCTTAAGTCTTTCAGAATTGTTCACTTATAAAATTGAAGTTGTAGTTTAAATTATTCTCCTGGTTCTACTAACTTTACTCTGCTTTACTTCACACAAATTTTCTCATGTTTCTCTGAAACAGTTTTCATTTCTTTAAGTACAATAGTATTCTATTACATTAATGTACCTTAACTTGTTCAGCTCTAACTCAGTTTTTGAGCACCCTCTTCATTTCTGGCTCTTTGTCACTAAAAAAAAAAAAGCTGCTTTAAATATGTTGTACCTATATATCCTTTCCCTCTTTCTTTGATATCTTTGCTATATAGGCCTAGTAGTAGTATTGCTAAGTCAAAGGGTAAGTGTAGTTGAGTAGCTTCTAGGTCATAGTTCTAAATTGATTTCCAGAGTGACTGGACCAATTCACAGCTTCATCAACATGGCATCAATGTGCATTCTACCCCCCCCACCCCCACCCCCCATCCCTGGTCCTCATAGCCCCTCCAACATTTTTCATTTTCATATTTATGTCAATTTTGCCCCTCTGATATGTATGAGGTAGGACCTCAGAGTTGCTTTAATTTGCATTTCTCTAATTATTAGTGATCTGGAACATTTTTTCAATGACTTTTGATAGCTTGCATTTCTGTAGAGTTGCCTTTGCATATCCTTTGACCACTTATCAATTATGGAAGGGCTTTTATTCTTATACGTTTGAATCAATTGCTTGTGTGTCTTAGAACTAAGACCTTTATCAGAGAAATGCTACAAAGTTGTTTTTCCCCCAGTTAGCCATTTCTTTCTAATCTTAGCTGCACTGGATTTGTTTGTGCAAAACCTTTTTAATTTTATGTAATTAAAAATTGCCCATTTAATCTTTTGTGATCCTTTCTATCTTCTGTTTGATCATAAATTCCTTACCTAACTGAAAAGTAATTTCTTCTTTATTCCTCTAATTTGTTTTTATATGTAGGTCATGTATCAATTTGGAATTTATCTTGGTATATGGTGTAAGGTGTTAGTCTGTACCTAGTTTTTGCCAGATTGCTATTCAGTTTTCTTATCAGTTATTGTTAAGTAGCAAGTTCTTAACCTTAGTACTTGCAGTCTTTGGGTGTATGGAAAACTATGTTACTAGGCTTGGGTCTCTATATTGTTTACTATCTGTTCTACTAACTGTCTTTTCTGTTTTTTAACCAATATCAAATTGTTTTGATGATTACTGCTTTGTAGTGTTGTTTGAGATCTGGCACTCCCAAGTCTGCCTCCTTCAGACTTTTTTTTTCATTATTTCCACTTGAGATTTTTTATTTTTATTTTTTGTTTCTCTAGATGTATTTCATTATTATCTTTTCTAGTTCTATAAAATAATTCTTTGATAGTTAGATTGGTATGTCACTGAAAAATTAAATTAATTTAGATACTATTGTCATTTTTATTATATTAGCTTGGCCCTATCCATGAACAATTAATATTTTCCCAATTATTTAGGTCTGTCTTTATCTCTATAAATCTCCAGTTGATTTTATCATTTCTCCAATGGCTTTTTATTTTATATTTTTATTGCATTTTGATTAGTAAAGATATGTTTAATATTATTGATTTTTCTGCATTTGTTTGTGAGGTTTTTATTCCCTAATACATGGGTTGATTTTTTTTTTAAAGGTGCCATGCATGTCTGTGAGATAAGTATACTCCTTTCTATTCCTCTTCAATAATTTCCAGAGACCTATCATATCTAATGTTTCTAAAATTTTATCTAATCTTCTAAAATTCAGATCTTTAACTTCTTTCTTGTTAATTTTTTTTGGTTAGCTTTCTCTAGCCCTGAAGTCCCTCACTATTGCAGTTTTACTGTCTATTTCTCCCTGTAACTCATTTAACTTTTTCTTGAAATTTTTAACTGCTATTCCATTTGATACATGTATCTCAAGTATTGAAGTTCTTTTGTTTTTTATGGAACTTTTTGGGCAAAAATGTAATTTCCCTATTTATCTCTTTTAATTGAGTCTATTTTGGCTGTTGATTTGTCTGGAACCATAATTTCTAACCCTGTTTTTTAAAAAAAACTCAGTTGAGGCATAACAGATTTGCTCCAGCCCCTTATTTTAGCTCTGTGTGAACCTCATGTTTTAAATGTGCTTATTATGAACAATATATTATTAGATTCTTCTTTCTAAGCTATTCTGCTATCCTTTTTTGTGTCATAGGTAAATTTATCCCATTCACATTCAAAGTCGTGATTGTTGATTATGTATTTTTCTCTCTCCTATTCTCTTATACTTTTTCCTGTCTTTACTCCTCTGCCCTTTCTTTATCACAGATTCTTACCCTTTCTTTCCTTTTAAATCACTTTTCATGATCCCCCCCTTAAAGCTTGGGGTTTCTTTTGCTTATGACTAATACCTCCTTGAATGCCCTTCCTCTCACCCTTTTTCCTTTCTCTGTCTCTTCCTTCTTGTTTCCCTGGTGAATGGAGTGTATTTTTATACCAACCTATTTATATATGGGTATGTGAGAGAGATCTACTCTCCTTTGATCAGTTTAGATGAAAATGAGGTTCAAGTGACATGAGCTTCCCCTGCTCCTTCCAGATTTGTATAAGCTTCTATTTGTGCAACCTTTTTATTATTATTATTATTATTATTATTATTGTTATTTTCTGAGGCAGTTGGGGTTAAGTGACTTGCCCAGAGTCACACAGCTGAGAAGTATTATGTGTCTGAGGTCGCTGGATTTGAACCCAGCTCCTCCTGACCCCAGGGCCGGTGCTCTATTCACTTCGTCACCTAGCTGCCCCTTGTGCAACCTTTTTATGGAGAAAATAAGTTCTCTCACCTCCCACATGCTCCCCTTTTTTCCTAGGATATCCTTTTCTTATCCCTTCCCTTTTTTATTTCAGTATCATCAAAACATAATAAATCATTCCCAGGTTCTCTGTCTTGGCTCTCTTTATTATCTCTGATGACATTACTGTTCTAAAAGGACTCTTGTATTATCTCCCCCCCCACCCATTATAATGTAAACAGTTCATCTTTATATAGTCCCTTTTTTTGCTTATTTGTATTTACCTTTTTATGTTTCTCTTATCTCCCATGTTTATATTTCAAAGTTTCTATTCAGTTCTGATCATGTAATCAGAAATACTTGAAAGTTTTCTAATTCTTTGACAGTTCCTCTCTTTCCCCTGCCCCCTCATTTTAGTATACTCAGTTTTATTGTGTAAGTTAGCCTATACCTTTTGCCTTTTGGAATATTACATTCTATGCTCTCTGCTTCTTAATAGTGGTAGCTGCTAAATCTTGTGTAATCCTGACTATGGTTTCTTGATACTTTAATTCTTTCTCTCTGGCTGCTTGAAGTATTTTTTCTTGGACCTGGAAGCTCTGGATTATGCCATCATATTCCTGGGAATTGTTGTTTTGAGGTAGTTGTTGTTGTTTTCAGGAGGTGATTGGTAGATTCTTTCTGTTTTCTCCTTGCCTGTAGGGCATTGTTTCACATTTCTCAGCTCTGCCCTTAACCAGCTAGCTGTATGACCTTAAACCACTTCACCTAAAGTGAGAGGACTGAAGAAAATGATCTTAATGTCTCTTTCCCACTCTTAAATTATATGATTCTAAATACATAAAGAATCCTAATACAATTGACAAAATAATTTAGCTAAAGTGTTTAGAAACAGTATACTAAAAAACAGTCAATAAAGAGAGACAAGTCAGTCCTCTAATAATCCCTCCCACAATGTTAAATTTTGGGTCTAAAAATTTCTTCGGATTTTCCCCATGGTGCCATCTACGCTATACCATTATGCATTGCGCCACTTGCTAGAATCACTTTCTTAGTACTGACTCACATTCTATTTGTTTTTAAGCCCAGTGTTAGTCTTACTTTCTTCTCTTTCTTATGCAAAAATATCATCTGTTGTTTCAGATATCAAGCAAAGAAATGAACGTGGTTAAACAAAGCCTAGACCGATTGCAAACATATATCATGAAACAGAGAAAATCTGGCTCAATGGCAGAATTAGGAGGAAACAAGTTGATGCATCACGTCCTGACTGAAAATTGTGAAGACAAAATGGAAGATTTCATTTCTAAAAGACCTGTAAGGCAAACCATCCTAACTTTAGAAAATCTCAGGAAAGTTCAATTTGATAGGTAAGAGAGAAAATATATAATCACTTTAATAACTAGATGGATGGATGAAAAAAAATCCAAGCATTTTTGGGGGTGGGGTTTAGGCAATTGAGGTTAAGTGACTTGCCCAGGGTCACACAGCTACTAAGTGTCAAATGTCTGGTCTGAGACTGGATTTGAACTCAGGTCCTCCTGACTTCAGGGCCTGTGCTCTATCCACTGCGCCACCTAGCTGCCCCTTAAATCCAAGCATTTATTAAGCACTCACTTTATGCCAGGCACTGGGCTAAGCACTAGGGATATGAAGAAAGGCAAGAAGGGTCCCTGTCCTCAAGGAGCTAATATTATGATGGAGACAACATAAAAACGATAAATAGAGTACAGAATAGGTAGAAGGCAGTCTCAGAGGGGAAGGCAATAGCAGCTGGGATAAAAGGGAAAGGTCTATGAAAGAAGGTGGAATTTGAGCTGAGTCTTGAAGGAAATCAGGGAAACTAAAAGGTGAGGGGTGCAGAGCATTCTAGGGATTGGGCACATCCTGTGTAAAGGCAATGAGAGGGAGATGTTGTGTCTTGTTCAGGGAACAGCAAATGGGCCAATGTAGCTGGGACCATAGAGTAGATGGAGGGGGAGAAAAGTGTAAGAAGCTTGGAAAAGCAGGAAAGGACCAGGTTATCAAGAGTTTTTATAGCCAAATATGTAAATTTATGTTTCATCTTGGAGAAAATAGGGAGCCACTGGACTTACACGTTAGGAAAATCAGTCGGGCGACTGAGTAGTGAAAGGATGGGAGTAGGGAGAGACTTAAGACAAGGGGACCAATTAGAAGGCAATTGCAATAGTTTAGGTAATGGTGATGGAGACCTGTATTAGGGTAATAGCCGTGTGAGTGGCAAGTAGGAGACATATATAAGAAATGTTATGAGGGCAGCTAGGTGGCACAGTGGATAGAGCACCAGCCTGGAAGTCAGGAGGAGCTGAGTTCAATCCGGCCTCAGACCAAACACTTGACACTTACTGGCTGTGTGACCCTGGGCAAGTCACTTCACCCCAATTGCCTAAAAAAAAAATGTTATGAAAGTAGAAATGACAAGATTTGGCAAGAGCATGAATGTGGGATGAGTAGGAATGAGTCAAGGGTGACAGTGAAGTTGTAAGCCTGAGTGACTGGGAAGACGGTGGTACCCTGCAGTGATGGAAAGTTTGGAAAGTGGGAGGGGTCAGGAGTGGGGAAGGCAATGAATTCCTTTTCCAACATTGAGTTAGGAATGTCTATGAGGCATCCATTTCAAAATGTACAGAAGACAGCTGGCGACAAGGGCCTGGAGCTCAGGGAAGAGGCTGGGGCCGGGCACCGAGATCTAGAAATCACCTCGGTAGTGACGATGATTGACCACGCGGGCTGGAGACAGAGTTGAGGAAGACAAGAGAAGGGCCCAAGGCAGAGATCTGGTGTGCGCCCACAAGCAGTAGGAACGGCATGGGGGACGATGGAGCCAGAGAGGCTGAGAAGGAGCAATCGGGTGCTCAGGAGGAGAGACGGCAGGGAGCAGAGCCACAGCTTAAGAGGGGGAGAGAGAGTGTCCTGGGGGACAGTGCTGAGAGGCTAGGGAGAGAGCGCTGAGAAAAGGCCGTTGGATCTGACAGTGAGAAGTCATTTGGTGTCTTTGGAGAGAGCAGGTTCAGTTCAGGCGAAGATGAGGTCAGAAGCCAGATTGTTGAGTGTGGACTCCGAATGCAGGTGGAAGCATCCTATTGGCTCTCCTTCTCCTTTGTTGTTTTGTTTTATTGCTTCATTCTCGTGGTTCCTCCCATTAGTTCTAACTGTTCTTTACATCACAACTAATGGGAAAATGTGCTTAACACGAATGTATAAATAGAGCCTATATCGGATTGTGTACTGTCTCAGCATGGGGCGGGGGAGAAGAAATGAGAGGGGGAGAAAACTTAGAACTCAAAATCTTGTGGAAGTGAATGTTGAAAACTAAAAATAAATAAATTTTTTTTAAAAAAGAAGCCAGATTGCTGAAAGTTTAAAAGAGAGGGAAAGAAGTAGAAACACCTCATATAGACAGCTTTCCCAAGGAGTTTATTGGATAAGGGGAGGAGAAATATGATAGGATGACAGCTAGTTGGAATAGCAGGATCCAGTGAGAATTTTTTTTTAAAAGAATGGTGGGTATACATCTATTTCTAGGCACCAGGGAAGGAATAAGTAGATAAGGAGTATTAGAAAGTGGGGATAATACTGGGGTGGGGGTGTGGCAATCTATTGGAGAAGACTGGAAAGAAGGAGATCAAGGGTACCTTAGATGTGTTGTCATTGGCCAGGAGAAGGGTTGCTTCTTCATTCCAAGACCAGAGTGAAGGAGGAAATGGTGGGAAAGACAGTGCTACATTGATTTCTGATAATTGATATTTCAGTTATATGTAGGGAGTGTAAACATTAGGTAAAATATCTTTGGGTGGGGTAATATTTACTTGAAGTATTAGCTCATTTGGACATCACCAAGGGGAAAAAAAAATTCAACCAAGGGACCCAAGTTTAACAATTTCTGATTAGTTTAAAGGGAACATTAGATCACAGATGTGGAACTAATATATTTAAATGCTATTTAAAAATACAGATTTAATTTTTAGATACTTATACCCAGTATCTAGCTCAGAATAGATTTCAAAATCTTGGGAAAATGTGCATCTTCAGCATCTATAAGCTAAGTGGAATGCAGAAAGATATCTATGACAAACAAACATTCTTCATTGCTACAGTGAAGAATTTAGTATAAAATCAATGATCTGTAACTAAGTTTTTTTCTCATTCTCCTTACTCTTACTGCCTATACAGAATATGTACATAGCCCCTCTTAAAGCCTTGAATTTAGAATATGAAATTCATTGTAGGTGTTTTGACAAAGCATATTATCCTAAAATAACACATGAAGGATGATTTTTGGTTGCTGTTAGAATCTTATGCTTCAGGTTCATGATGTTGATATATTCCATATATCTTCTAAAACATTTTATGAATAGCCTTTTTTCCCTCATGCATCAATTTTCACAGTATTTGAGGCAAACAATAGAATATTAAATGGAAACTACTGCTAATGAGCCTTGCTCATATCACTCACTGTTGAGAAGTAACTTCGTGTAGTTGAAAGATCACTGGATGAAACCAAAACAATTCCAAGTTTTCACCTCACACCCCACAAACTGGCAAAAATGACAAGAAAAGGCAACAGTTGATGTTGAAGGGTTTGTGGAAAGATAAGCACTCTAATACATTGTAAGTGGAGCTGTGAAGTGCTATAACCTTTTTGGAAAGTAATTTGAAGTTATGCAAATGAGTGACTAAATGTCCATGCTCTTTGAACTAGAGACTCTGTTACTAGGCTTATACCCCAAGAAAGCCATTGATAAGAAAAAAAAAGTTCCCAAATACTTCAAAATATTTGTAGCAGCACTTTTTTTTGTGATAGCTAAGGTTAGAAATAAAGTAGATGTCCATCAGTTGGGGGAATTGTTAAACAAATTTGTGGTACATGAATGTAATAGAATATTACTGCACTGCAGGAAATGATGTGTGTGAGGAATACAGAGAAACATAGAAAGACCTACATGAACTGATGGAGAGTGAAGTAAGCAGAGCCAAGAAAACAATACATACAGTAACCATAACAATGCAAATGGAAAGAACAATCACACAACAAAAAATCAAAAGTAAATGTAACAAAATTATAAAGATCAAGCAAGACTTGAATGAAGAGAGATGAGAAGACGCCCTCAACCCACCCCTTTGTGGAGATGGGAGGGCAACAGGGGTTACACATTGCACATGTTTTTAGAATTTCTCAATGTATCCGTCAGTTGTGCTGATTGTTTTTTCCTCTCTAAAAACAAACAGACAAAAACCACTGTCTGCTCTTGGGGAAGGGGAAAGAGAAGGATGCGTGGGATACTGTGGAGGTATAAGAAATAGAAAACATCAATTAAAAAAATTATTTTTTTTAAAAAAGGAAGAGCTTTGGACTTGGAGGGAGAAGACCTGGATTTGAGTCCCAGCTCTATTACTTATTAGTGGGATAACTTTGGGCAAGTCCCTGAACCTTTCTGGTCTCAATTTTCTGTACAATGGGGCTAATCCTACTTGTACTGTCTACCTCACGGAGTGGTTCTGAGCAAAGTACTTTGTCAAGTATGAAGTGCCATAGAAAAATGAGCTACTATTATTTTCTTTTCCTTTTCTTTTCTTTCTTTCTTTTTTTAATATGAGGCAATTGGGGTTAAGTGACTTGCCCAGAGTCACACAACTAGTGAGTGTTATATGTCTGAGGCTGGATTTGAACTCAGGTCCTCCTGACTCCAGGGCCAGTACTCTATCCACTGCACCACCTAGCTGCCCCTACTATTATTTTCAAACTGCTTTTTCTGAATATTTTGCAGTTTTTCTCTATGAAACAGAGAGATAGCATGGTAAGGTGGAAACTGAAGTGGAAACCAAGAGACACAGGGTTATTTTGATCAGTCCCCTCTCTGGACCTCAGTGTTCTCATGTGTAAAATGGGGGTTGGACAAGGTGAATTCCAGGGTGCTTTGCAGATCTTGCATTCGTGATTAGGAAACAAGTTGTGGCCCTTTGTAGGGGCGGGGAAATAAGCATCATTAACTCACAGTGTTTTGTCTTGTTCTCATTGGCAGAGAGTATGCCAGCAAAATACTCATGGAAACTGTAAACGAGATGCAGGAATTGGGAACATTCAGCAGTCTTCTGAAAGCTTTGGACAAAGAGAAGGAAAAAAAAGCAAATTTCTGCAAAGTCATTGCCAGGTCAGAGTAAATCTTAAGTATATCTGCTTTGGTACATTTTAAGATTTTAAAAAATATTCTTATCAGAGTATCTGATTTCTGAAGCAAATTGACATGTATTCACTCACACACTGTGGGTTTGGTTGTACCTTCAAGTATCCTTTTCCCTTTTGGAGCCCGTTGGAAATTCAGAACTGAGTCAATCAGATTCATTGTCATGATCCCCAAATGCTAACATCACTCCGTGGAAATTGGCTCCACTGCTCTTCAAGGGCTGCCTCTCCAGTAAGCTGCCCCTGCCTGATCCTAGAACCTATCTCATTCATGCCCAATATGGACCTAATCTTCAGTGATATGGCTTCACACCCATCAACTCCTTGTTCTGTCTTTTAGTAACTAATGATAGCTAACATATATAGAGCATTAAGGTTTGCAAAATGCTACACATATTATCTTATTTGATTGATCCTCACAACAGCCCTGTGAGGGGGGTTGTTGGTTAGTTGTTGCTTAATTGTTCATGTGTGACTCTTTGTGACCTTGTGGACCATACTACTGTCCATGGGGTTTTCTTGGCAAAGACTGGAGTGGTTTATCATTTCCTTCTCCAATGGATTGAGGCAAGCCGGGGTTAAGTGAATTGCGTAGGATCTCACAGATGGTAAGAAGAGAGGTAACACACTATATTGAAAAATAATAAATGGAATGAGATTCATGCTAAGCAGGGGATACTTATGTACTAAATGGCATAGTACATGGCATAGGTTTAGAAGGTGCTATGGGTCCAAATGGGCAGCAAGGTGGCACAGTGGATAGAGTGCTGGGCGTATAGTCAGGAAGACTCATTTTCATGAGTTCAAATCTGGCCTCAGACTCTTACTACCTGTGTGACCCTGGGCAAGTCATTTTCCCCTGTTTGCCTCAGTTTCTTCATCTGTAAAATGAGCTGGAGAAGGAAATGGTAAACCACTCTAGTATCTTTGCCAAGAAAATTCCAAACAGGATCACAAAAAGTTGGACATGACTGAAATGACTGAACAAAAACAATAACAAAAATGAGGTCCAAATTAATTTTCTTTAGAAATCAGAAAAAAAAATCTACAACATGATAAAATCTGATATTCTTTAAAAATGTTCTATGAGTGGTCCAAGGACCCCCAGAGTCTTCCGAGCCTCTTTCAAGGGATCCACAAGGTCAAAGCTATTTTCATAATAATGCTAAGATTTTATTTGCCTATTAAAATATTCCCCTCATTTCCAACTATGTATCTAGTTTTTGGGTTGTTTTTTTTGTTTGTTTGTTTTGTTTTTTGGTGAGGCAACCGGGGTTAAGTGACTTGCCCAGGGACACACAGCTAGTAAGTCTCAAGTGTCTGAGGTTGGATTTGAACTCAGGTCCTCCTGACTCTAAGGCCTGAGCTCTGTCTGCTGGGTCATCTAGCTGTCCCTCCAACTATGTGTCTGCATGAGGCTGAAATTTCTTCATATGCTTCAATTAAAACTACATATCAAAACTGGTTAAATGCAGAAGCAGATATTAGAATCCAACTGTATTCCATTAAGTCAGATATTAAAGGTATTTGCAAAAAAATATGTAAAACAATAGCACTCTTCTTAGTTTTCTTTTGTTTTAGAAAATATAGCTTTTTTCACAAAATGTTATTTATGTTAACATGTAATAGATTTGTTATTGTTATTTTCAAAAGAATTAATAAAGTGATATTTTAAAAAAGTTCTATGAAATTCAGTTTTTCTTTGGCATGGTTTTTGTTGTTTTTGTGAGTGTTCTTATACTGTTAGGGATTGTCTATGAACTTCATATTTTCTAAGGAAGAAATATTTAGCCTCAACAAAGCATTCTGTGACCATATTAAAGGTCTTTCTATATCAAGCTTGGGTTTTGTGGACAAAAAGTCCCGAATAACGAAAATTACTCTAGCTAGGTCAGAATGGGGAGAACCTGGTGGCTGGGAGAACAGGTAAAAATTTATGAAGGCTTGAATGAATTCTTTGATTAGTACTCTTCAAACTGTATTAATTAGTTTGGTGGTAGTGGCAGGGGTGTTATGACACTTGATGCTAAAATAAAATCCTGCATGCCAATTAGGTATGTGCTTTGTAAATAAAGGTTTTCTTGCTCTCTGAAAATATCAGAAGAAAGTAGATATGCCTGTTTTGGTATAGAAGTTTAGCAAGAGTTTTTTGACTGAGTGTAATGGAAATGTTTGATACAGACAGAGGGTGTGGTACTTGGGGTGTATGTAGTATAACACTGAATAGAAGAAGAGTTACGTTATCCAGTGAATTTCTAAGGTGAACTATAACTTCTGTTTAGTACTCAATGCACTGTTTCTTTCCCTCTTTCATTTATTTTAGGGAAGAAAACATGAGAAAACAGATAAAATCTCTCCAGAAAGAGCTTCAGGATGTCAAAAATGAGCGGCAAGTAGAAGCACAGGTAAGAATCCCTTTACAACTGGAATAGCACAGGCATCAGTGTTTACTGATCTGACAGAAATGTAAAGTAGGAATATTCCTTCCCCATATAAAGCTTTTATCTAGGAAGGGTTCTTATGGGTTCTCCAATGAAAAATTCACTCTTGAAGATGTATTTTGTTGTTGTTGAATCATTTTGATTGTGTCTGACTCTCTGTGACCCCATTTGGGGTTTTCTTGGCAAAAATATTGGAGCAGCTTGGTATGTCTTAGGTGGCCCAGTGGATAGAGCACTGGACATGGGATCAGGAAGAATCTGTCCTCAGACACTTACTATTTTTTTTTTCTGATTTCTAAAGTAATTGTAGCCTGGAAGGGACTTAGAGGCTTAGTTCCAGGCAAAACATAGCCAAAGGTGACCCATTTGGGATCAGAGTGATTCCAGAGGAAGGGTCCAAATTTCCAGTGGGGGGAAGTTGGAGGAGGGTAGGGGCCGAGCAATGCCACTAGTGCAGGTGACATGGTTTGGAAATGGTGTCTGGAAAGTGATATTCATAACAGTATATTCACAGCAACCCTTTTTGTGGGAGCAGGGGATTAGAAACAAAGTAAGGTCCCATTGACTGGTTAAGTGAGGCCACCTGGTGTAGGATAGAACACTGGACTTGGAATGAGGAAGACCTGGCTTCAGCATCCACCTCAGACCCTTCCAACTCTGAGATCCCGAGCAATTCACTGAATTTCTTGGGTTCGAGTTTTCTTATCTGTAAAAGGAGCTTGAACTCAATGATCATCAGTAGGCTTCCTTCTGAGCTCTAAATCTATGATCCTATGAATAGGAAACAGCTGATCATTCTGTGCTATGTATAGCATGTGATTGTGCCATTTAGACATCACAAATATGAGGTCTTCAGAGAAACATGAACTGATACAAATTGAAGTAAGCAGAATTAGGAGAAAAACATACCGGGTGACTGGAAAATGTAAAAGGGAAAAAAAATAAACTGATCAAAGATGGCCTTGGGAAAAAATGTGAAAGTGCATCTTTTGTTTGGAGGAGGGACACTGTGAGTGTGGGTTGTTTCATATGCTTTCAGAAGCAGGCACTGATCTACTTTTCTATTTCATCTAGAACCAGATAATTTTGATAGTTGCTACTTAGTATGGTTTGACATCTGGTGGCTTCAAGCACCCTGACATCCTACTCTTTTCCAGGATAACTCTTGGTATTCTTGACCTTTTATTCCTCCAAATAATTTTTTTAATTTTAAAAAATTAACTTTTAATTTTTTTGGGCTAGGCAATGGGGTTAAGTGACTTACCCAGGGTCACCCAGCTGGTAAGTGTCAAGTGTCTAAGGCCGCCTTTGAACTCAGGTCCTTCTGACTCCAGGGCCAGTGTTCTATCCACTGAGCCACCTAACTGCCCCTAATTTGTTTATTTTTAACATTTATTTTTTTAAAATGTTGAGTTCTAAATTCTCTCCCTCCCTCCTCTCCCCCATCCATTATGAAAGCAAATAGTATGATATCAATTATACATGTGAAGTTATGTAAAACATATTTTAACTTTAGCCATGTTGCAAGACAAACAAAAAAAAAAGCAAGAAAGAAATAAAGTAAAAAAATTTTGTTTCCATCTGCAGAGTTCATTAGTTCTCTCTCTGGAGGTAGGTGACGTTTTTTTTCATCGTAAGTCCTTTGGAAATGTCTTGGATCATTGTCTTGATCAGAGTAACTAAGTCTTTCGTGGTTGATCATAGTTATAGTATTCCTGTTACTGTGTAAAATATTCTCCTAGTTCCACTTTGCATTAGGTCACATAAGTTTTTCCATGTTTTTCTGAAACCATCCCCTTCATCATTTCTTGTAGCACAATAGTATTCCATCACCATCTTATACTACAACTTGTTCAGCCATTCCCCAATTGATGGGCACCCCTCAATTTCCAATCTTTGCCACCACAAAAAGAGCTGCTATAAACATTTTTGTACACGTAAGTCCTTTTCCCTTTTTTTTTTTGTTCTCTTGGGGATATAGAGGTAGTAGTGGTATTGCTGGGTCAAAGGGTATACACAGTTTTATAGCCCGTTAAGCATAGTTCCAAATTGTTCTTCAGAATGGTTGGACCATTCACAACTCCACCAACCATACATTGGTATACCTATTTTTCTACATCCCCTCCAGCATTTGTCATTTTCTTTTTCTTTCATGTTAGCCAGTATGCCAAAGGAATTTTGTTAATATTTTGTCTAATTCCATAAAGAATCTCTATGGTAATTTGGTCAAACACTAAATCCAAGAGTTATCACTTTTATCAATTATCACTTTTATCAATATTGATATTGCCAGATTTTGAACATTGACTGTCACTACAATATGATATCAGTTTTACATGTAAAGTCATGCAAAACATATTTCCATATTAGCCATGTTGAAAAAAAAAGCAAGAAAAAGAAAGTGAAAAAAGGTATGTTTTACTCTGCAGAGTTCATCAGTTTTCTCTCTAGAGGTGGAGAGCCGTTTCCCCAATTGATGGGCATGCCCTCGATTTCCAGTTCTTTGCCTCCACAAAAAAAAGCTGCAATAAATATTTTTGTACATATGTGTCTTTTTCCTTCTCTTTTGATCTCTTTGGGAAACAGACCTAGTAGTGGTACAAAGGGTTTTATAACCCTTTAGGCATAATTCCAAATTGTTCTCCAGAACTCCATTGACTTTTGAGTGACCCATGACTGTACTTCAGACTTTAGTATTCTATATTCACAGCTATCTTTTCTTTCATTTCTCATTAATGGTGAATAATACTAGGTGTATGAACTGTCTCTTCCTTGCTACTTGTAATTTTTTCTGTCTGATTTGTGAGATCTGCAGCTTAGGAACCACATTTTTAGTGGGTCAGATTTGAAGTTCCTCTTTAGCAGCAGCCTATGGATTCCATTGAGATACATATCTTCCTCTGGTTCCAATACTTTTGGACAATTGTCTATTATGATTTTCTAAAGTATGATATTCAAGTTTTTTGTTTGTTTCATCATGCTTTTGTGGGAAATCAGTGATTTTTAGATTCTCTTTCCAAATCCTGTTTTCCAAGTCAGTTATTTTTTTTTATTGTAAATACCTCAAATGTTCTTCTAGTTTTGCTGTCTTTTGACTTCATTCTAATATCTCCTGTTGTATTATTGAAATTTTGACTTCTTATCTCTTCACTTTTCCTCCCCAGGGTGGCCCCTGTTTGGCTGCTGTTCTAAGCTATAGATTTTCAAGTTTTTCCATTAAAGACCTCTCATTTAACATTTTATCTTTTCCTTCCTGTTTTGTTAGACCTTCCAACCATTTTCTGGTTGTAGTTATTCAGATTTATTCTTTCTTTTTGGTGTTTTATCCTGGCATTCTCTTGTCCCATAGCATTTTTTCATTGTGTTAAAGTCTGTTCTCTATTTGCTCATTTCTAGTATTACTGCTATTTTTTTTCCTCTAAGATTTTTCTTGTGAGGATGTCTTTTCCTCTCCTTTTTTTCAGTTGCTGCTACTCATCTTTTTATTTATTTGGAGCATATCTAGCTGTTTTGTGGTAGTGAAGGGAATAGCTCAGGTAACATAGAACCTCTCAGTCATTTGTCTAGAAAATGTCCCCAGCCTCCCCCTCTTCCCACCACTAACAGTACTTTCTCTTGGCTAATTACAAAGCAGCTTTTGGTGTTTGTCTTAGGACATCATTTTCCCTCTCAGCTCTTTGCTTTTGTTCTTCAAATACCACTTTAACTCTCTGGGAGTTTTCAGCAGCTTCACAGAAGCTGACTTGTACTCCTATTTGGGTGAAAACCCTCTTCTTGGGTTTCATTTCAGTCTTTATCCTGTATTACAAAGCTCTTCCCCTCCCCCTACTCTCTCCATTACTATCTAACCTTTCTTGACTCTCTTTTACTACCTAATAACAGGAGATATTCATCTTCACCTCCCTTCTGGTTTCACAAAAAGAGAAACAAAGAAACACCTCATTAAAGGAGTTTTATATAGTTACAAGCAAGGCAAAGTAACTACATCTAAAGAGAATTTTCAAGATTTGGCACCCTCCCAGCTTTGTTCCTTCCCTCTTAACTCTCTAGCCCCTTAAAAGCATGTTGATTATAGAGTTTGCTGAGCAACAACATTCACCCACTCTGGGTACAGATAGTCTTGGCTCACATTCTTACTGCATTTAGCCATAGGAAAAAGTAAAAAGCAATCTAAACCACCCCCTCCCCCCCCAAAAACACAATGTCATTCTGAAGCTACAAATCCTGTTTACTACCACTACAGCAGTAGTGGATCACAGAGACTGTGGGGGAAATCAACACCCAAAAACCAAGACAAAGCTGGGAACAAAAAGTGTGTGGGAAGTATAGGAATGAGACAGATCGAGGAATAATAATAGCTAGAGTTTTTATATCACTTTAAAGTTTGCAGCATGCTTTACAAAAAAAAAGAGGCAGTTCTTTTCCCAGACAAGAAACTTTTGACATGCTATCCTCTTGAGGCATGAACCTGTGGGGTCCCACAGGTGAGCAACATTAGGTAAACAGGTTAAATTGGCTAAAGTGTTGAGCAAAGAGTCAGAGACAAAGACAATTTCTTACACAGAGGGTAGCCACAGAAAGTCTATTTAGTGGCAAATCCTTAGAAATGTTATTTTTGGAAAACTTCCATTTGCTTGAATGTCTTGAGCCTTCCATTAATTTAGCAGCAGATACATAACAAATGTTTGTGTAATTAAATTAATACAAATTGCCGTGTCATTGTGCTATTATTTCTGAATGTTGTCATGATTGAAATTTAATAAAAGGATAAATTGAGGCAGGCTTCTCTGAGCAAAGTTATGGTTTATTAGTAGGAGAGCTACCCACTAATAAAGCAAGTCTCTTGTACCCTTGAATAGCCAAAAGACCTCAAGTTGAGGGCACAACACATTTTTTATAAGCATAGAACAAAAAACAGAACAAAAATCATATCATTGGTTATAGGATTCATAACATCATGGAAT